CCGAAACTGTCTCGCTGTCAGTTTCCGGTACGCTTTTTCTTCCGCTTTCACGTTCAGGCTGCTGTCTTCGTCAACCACCACCGTCCGATGGAGTTTTCCGACAAACCACATACCGGCGTGCTCATCTTGGAAGTGCGATCCCAACCGCACCGGTCGCACCTCCATCGGAGCCCTCACGCGTCCACACGCGCACGTGCAACCTCTGGTCATCCTCTCCCCAAGGCAGCGCGTGGCGGCGCGTGGGACCTTCTCTCCGGCCGCGGTTGGTGGCGTTCTCCTCGTCTCCCTGTGACGGTTCTGGATCTGTTCCTGGTTCTGTGTTTGGACTTCGTTTTGTGTTAATGTCAGATCCCTCTTCTACCGGTTAGTTGTGTGATCTGTCCTTTTTTGATTATTTTTTCTCTTAATTATGGACCCTCCTGTCTCCAATGACTCTGGTACTCCGGCTGAGAAAAAGTCAGACTCTGCTATTTTTTCAAATTATATCCTTGCTCCGTTGAGTGTGGAGAAATTGGATGGTTCCAACTATGATACTTGGTCTTTCGATCTGCGACTTTGGTTGGATGGGCAGAATTATACATCCCATCTCACCACTAAGGCTGAATCTGTGGCGGAAAAGGAGCGCACACGGTGAAAAATGATTGATGCTCAGCTGTGTAGCCTCATTAAAGCTACTCTTCATCCGTCTATCAAGCAGATTTTTCGACCTGCTGTCACTTGTAAAGCTATTTGGAGTCAGGCAAAAACACTTTACACCAATGATACCCAGAGACTCTATGGTGTGTGTCAGAAATTGATGACTACATTTGCTCCTTGGGACTTCAATTGTCCTATGACTGAATATTTGGGGAAAGCTCAGAGTCTACTTCATGATCTTAATGAGCTTTTACCTCTCACTGGTGATGTTAATAAGGAACAGGAACAACGTAATACACTGTTTATGCTGTTCATTTTATATGGTTTGCCTGACCATTTGTCTGCCAATCGGCATCAAATTTTGGGATCTTCTACAGTTCCTACACTGGATTCCGTGATATCTACCTTGCTTCGAATTCCCTCTAAGCCATCTCCGTCATCAGCAACTCCTATGATGCATATACCCCCAGCGGATTCTGGTGACTCATCCGCTCTTGCTGCTCAAGGGTATGGTCGTGGACGTAGAGCAGATTCTATTGACTCTTCCGCTTTTGCTGATCAAGGATATGGTCGCGGACGTCGAGAAGATTTTGTTGACCCTTCAGCTTTTGTTGTTCAAGGGTATGGTTGTGGACGTCGACTCTCTAAAGAAAAGCTGTTATGTACTCATTGTCATCAGACCAATCATACTGTTGACCGTTGTTGGAAGCTTCATGGCAGGCCACCTCCACCTTCTCGGAATGCTCATGTTGCTCAGGCTTTCTCTAGTACCTCTGCTCCAGAGTTACCTTCCAGTGCACAACCTCCAGCTACTCTTCTGAATGAATTTGTAACTTGGTGGTCTGAAAAGCAAACATCAGGTCCTATTGCGTCCATTGCTCCCTCTGGTAATTCTTTTGTTGGCATCTCTCAGTTGCACTCTATAGGCCCTTGGACTCTTGATTCTGGGGCTTCTGATCACATTTCTGGTAATAAGTCCTTATTCACTTCCCTTTGTACTACTGGTTCTTTTCCCACTATTACTATGGCCAATGGATCTTTGGTCCAATCAAAGGGAATTGGCACGGTTCTTCTTTTACCCAATTTATCTCTGGATCATGTTCTATATGTGCCTGATTCCTCTTTTAACTTTATTTCTGTTAGTCGTTTGACCAAATCCATTGACTGTTGTTTCCTTTACTAAAACCTCTGTCATCTTTCAGGATCGGAGTTCGGGGAAGGAGATTACCAAAGGATGTGAGTCTCAGGGCCTCTATCAACTAGTTCCCTCTTCTTCAGCCTGCTCCACTGTAGATTCTCCTCTTACTATCCATGCTCGTTTGGGCCATCCTAGTCTTGCAAAGCTTCAGAAGATAGTTTCCCATTTGTCGTCTCTTTCTACTTTAAATTGTGAGTCTTGTCAGTTTGGGAAACTCGTAGTATGTTTCCGAGTCGTCTTAGTCGTCAAGCTGTTTCTCATTTTTCTGTGGTCCACTCTGATGTTTGGGGACCCAGTCGTCATTCTTCTACTTTGGGTTTTAAGTATTTTGTTACTTTTATTGATGATTATTCCAAATGTACTTGGTTATTTTTAATGAAAAAGCGGTCTGAGTTGTTTTCTATTTTTCAGTTATTTTATTGATGATTATTCCTGTTGCATTGTCCACTCTTCAAGCCCAATGGGCTCTTGTGTGAGGGGGCGTGTTGAGATATATAGTCTCACATTGGTTGTATGTGCAACTAATGTGGAGTTTATAAGGCCTTGGGCACTCCCACCCTTTGAGCTAGCTTTTGGGGAGGTGTATCTCAAGGTTCCTTACATTACCTTTCGGTTCAAACCGACGCGTTCATTCATAATTGGACCGAACCGGTCACCGATTGTACCTGCTCACCGAACCCTTAAGAAATTTCATCTGATTTTCTGCTATGATACTCTGTCGGATTTTTTTTCTTCATCCGGTTTTGCATTCTCCTTTCATAGTTCCGGTGTAATTCCTCTAGCAACTTGTTGTGTTCATTCGGGTTGTTGACTGGCAGAGCCACCATTCTTTAGACGCAATCCTTTCTATCCTGGGAGACAAGTGTCCATCAACCTCCAGCATCAGTAAAAGGGAAAATTGTCTTAAGGAGACACTTTTTGTTGGCTCGAATTTCTTACACTATCTTGCATACATTGATCATTCTGTTCCATTATCTGACATACTATAAGTCTGTTTTAATTTTCTTATTGCACTGTGCTTGATAATTGTGATTACTAATTTTATCTGTTCTATACACGGGTTCAAACCTCTTAGTGATTTTTAATATCACTTACTGTCTTCTAAAACACAGTTGAAGTACTACAACTCTAGTGGTAGATACCCATTAGCAGAGATCTGGAATTTTAAGGAAGGCTTCGTTGAAGGAGGGTGTTTCGAATTCAATCATGCAACGGGAATTGTCAAAATGAGGCTTTGTTTGGAGGTTTTAATTGGGACTGATAATTGATATGCAGAATTTCAATTTTTTGTGTGTGGAGATATTCCAATCGATTCATCACTTCGTGACTAGTTCGATTTGAGGCGGATCCCAGAATTAAGACTTTAAACCCCTTTCAAAAATGATATTGAAAAGAATCGAATATATATTCTCATCCTTACCTATTCAAATCTCTTATGCCAACTGAAGCTATGGTATAGAATTTCAATTTAAATTCTTGATGTTAAGCTTACTGGGGGGTTGATATGACATAATTGATGGATTAATCGGTGAAAGATTATATTTTCTATTTGGATTGATATGGCATAATTGATGAATTAATGGTATGAGATTTTGTTAATTGATATTATTTTGCTCTTATCTTTGTGTCTAATTGAGAGGGTGCTGAAAAGTGAGAGGGGGAAAACACAGTAGTTGGAAAATGGTATTGCGTGAGAAACATTAAAAATATACAAGATGTGTTCCAGTTTTGATATAATTCCAGTGTGATCTTATACCCAAAAAAATAAAAAATAAAAAAATCCAGTGCGCTCATCTTCCTGTTGATGTGGGTGTTGGGTAGCATTAAACGATTATCATCAGTCGCATGCCATGTGTTCATTTGATTTCAATAATTGTACGTACTCCCTCACAGTACACACTACACAGAGCAAACTAATATACTTTTTAGTGGCATGAAACAAGCAACATCCTTTGATTTAAGCGCACAGGAGAGGAGGATTTTCAGTATTCTGTCCACATATTTCATCCCATAAAATTAAAAACACATAAAGGCATTAAATCCACCAAAATTGGATAGGATAATTTATTGGTTTCACGTGAAGGGAGTGGAACATCCATTTCATTCTAGACCTTTCATTTTCTTTCCATATACTATTTCTTCTGTCTTTTTGTCCTACTGGATGAAATTAGGAGAAGAATTGAATTAAACCGAAGATGGAAATTATGCCCCTTTCGTGTTCATTGTCCCCAGGGATATAGATGAATGACGGGTTAAAAAAAGTCATCCATAAGAAGACTGTCAGGGTTGACTAGATAACATTCTCAGTTCCCAACAAGGTAAACTATTAGTAGGAATAGTGAAAAGTGAAAACTAACATGTTGTGTTGTTAGCTTGGAATCACAAGTAGCTCAGATCTTATTGTTGAAGAGCATATGGTTTTTCATATTCAAACTCATGTCTTCAATGTTGACCTCAAACTAGCTTTCACATAGGTTCATATTAGAGGCTTTTTTATTACCTGACCCTCAACGCAAAATTGCTCCGATTCCTTTTAGGTGGTGTTTGGTTGGGAGCTTTTCAGCGGATATCTATCTTTTTCAAGTGAGGCTTTTAGAAACACCATGTTTGTTTCAACGTTTTTCACCAAAAACCTATCTATCCAATTTGTCTGAAATTATGAGAAATATAGATATCCATTTTGTTTAGAAACCCAATTTGAAGGTGGGATTTTTCGGAAAACCGGTTATCTGACTTTTAATGCACAGTTGATTTCATAAAGTTACCTAATTTTTTCAGTAAAGTTTTTCTCCACCAAACACCTTTTTTTTACATTTTTCTACCTATCTCACGTTATCTATCTTTCCAATCATTTCTCTATCTATCTCATTTCCTTTCTATTCCAAAAAATTTTCCTGAACCAAACGCCCCCTTAATATGTAAAGTAACTCGTTGAATTATAGCTTCGGTGCTTCAAATTTAAATATTTCATTCGTTATTTGTAATGTAGTAGTTGTGAGTATTATTTTGGTCATTGGCATAAAGTCCTAGACAACTCTTCACTAACTACACATCTAGTTTTTCCAACAAACATCATACATCCCTACCGAAATAAAGAGAAGGGAAGAGAACAAATATGCATGTACTCGAAACAAACCCAACAACACTTTTCCATTATGAGCGTATATATAATGTTAACCATAACACACTTCCTTAGATACATAGAGCAATATATAGAAATACATAACCCCACATTTGCTTAGCCGCTTCAGCATTTCCTACGCTCTCTCTCTCTCTTCCTTCCCTTTGGCTTTACCTTACGGTTACGCTCTACTCTCCCCATTCCCAAATAAACCAAATAAGTACAACCTCAATCACGCGCCCTCGATTACATATTAAATCAAACCCACCAATCAGAAACAAAAAGTTAACAATTTGTCACAATAACCTGTCATTCACCCATTCTTTGACTCACTTTTTTACTTTTTTTTAATGACCTTCCTCTGCACACTGTCACGTCACAGTCTTCAAAACAATCCAGTCAAAAAGAGAAGCCATCTAGAATAAAAATGGGCGCCAAAAGGGGCAAAACTGGAAATTAATAATTAGTGGGAAACCAACAAAAAATATGTTGTACTTTTCAATTTTCATGTATATATATTAATTTATCATAAAATTAAAAAGCGGGAAGAGTTGTGATGACTGGTGACTGGTGTGGTGAGTCATCAAACCCGAAAATTCTTTCCGGTGAAAGTTTGACCGAATTGCCAATTGGGTGGAACAATGTTCCATGAGGTGGAACTGCGGCGGTCGCTGCCGATGACCCGAAAGGACAAGGACTGACCCACCAACACAGCGTTTGATTGCCAATTCTGACCCCAGTTTCGGCTCATGGGTATCCACCCGGTTCGGGTGCCCTTCACATATGTGCGCACGATATCCCCTGCACCCGCCACGTTGCTAATCAGCACCAGGTTGAAGTAACGGAAACCGTTGATTGTGAACCTTATTCCACCCTGCTTTCTACATGGCACCCTACGCAAATACCAACCAACATTCATTACATGGTTCCACTACATCCGCAAAATTCACAAAAACAAACAAAGCGTAAAGTGACTAACATAAGCAAGTAAAGGAACAGAACATAACGAAAAACTAACCCCACCAAATTTATTGTCCCAATAATGTCGCATAACTAACTTCACCTACTCTTTTCATTCCTAGTGGCTATGCTAATACTATATTTTAGGAATACATTTATCAAAGTTGCATATCTCATAAAAAAAAAAAAAGTGAATAAAACCAGCTAAGAAGAAAAGAGAAAAAAAAAAAAAAAAGATCTCGTTCACTTTTAACTTTGTTCGTTTGTTTTGTCTTGTTAAACATCATAAATGTATTCCCCATAATTTATGGTTTAAAATTTCTTATATTTTAGAAAATAAAATTATTTTATTTTTTATACACATAAAAATACATGCTATGTAAATATAAAAAAGAAAATGAAAAAAATTAGACTCCACACATATTTTTATGTATAAAATTTAAACCCATAATTTATGTATAATAATTGCGTTGGAACTTGGAAATGTTTTTCTTTTTCCCAAGCCTAGAACTGAAATAAATAAACGTAGCTAGAAAGAGTAAAATGGGGTACCTGCGATGAGCTACTGGTACGATGCCAGCACGGTATTCGGCAATCTTGAGGAACATGGGCATGGCAAGGTCGAAGTGTGGGCGAGGAGGGTTGCACCATCCACCATTGTCGTTTGGGAGAGCATAGTTTGGGGGACAGAAGTTAGTGGCGGTTATGAAGATAGAGGGGCTTCCAGAGTGACACCATTCTCTGTCGTTTGCGCACTTGATCTCAAAGCATGCACCGCAACTCAAACCATTGTTGAAAAGTGCAGTGCTCAATGCTGCTGTGCTAACTCCATACCCTTGGCTATACAAGTTTCCATACCCACATGCTCCCCCTGAATCCAAAACATTCATTCCACTTAATTAAATTACTCGCATTTCATAAGTGAACAACAACAAAAAGTGAGAAAATGAAAGCGAGAAACATTTTACATTACATAGTATATATATATATATATGAGGTAGGATCCTTTGACACCGGTGTCAAATTTTAAACTTGACACCTCATCTGAGAGCCGTTTGATCAAAAAATATAAACGACTCTGATTTGCAAGCATGTGACACCGTTGATCTTTTTTGATCTAACGGCTCTCAAATGAGGTGTCAAATTTAAAATTTGACACCGGTGTCAAAGTATCCTGCCTCTATATATATATATATATATATATATATATACATACCCATTGTGCCGGAAGCATCAGATCCTCCATAGAAGGTAGCATGAGCACTTTGCCAAGCTCCTCCACTGTAAACCCCTGGAATTCGAGCCTCAACCATCCACATCAATGAGATAAGAGACGCAATGCATAGCACACTGCTGAACAAAGCCATTCCTTTTGTTTTTCTTTTTTTTGACACTGAAAAGAATAAGAGAATTAACGAACAACACAGAGATGAAAAAAAGAAGGAAACTTGGGAATGAGAGGCTAATGGGCAGCGAGTGGGTGTGGACTACTTATGGTGTGGGGAAGCTCTATTTAGAGTGTGCAGTGGAGGGGCCACATTTGCAATTCTAAAACTCTTGGTTCATTATTAAATGCCAACTATATGTGATTTTAGAATCTGAAATATTTTTCCTTCCTATCAATACCTACTGCATTATTCTTAAGCCCCGTAGATAGCACTTACCAATTGTTTTCACATTTACTCGATTCATTGTGGGCTCCATCCAACATAAAAAGCGTTTATTGGAACTAAAATCAAAGTTTTGAGTTAAAAAATTTTCTGATGACGTCGATAAATACTATAATACATTTTGGTTAAACCGTATGACTTTAAAATAGGGTAATTTTCATTCCTTTAAACTTTTTATGAAGAAAAGAAATTCTCAAAGAACATACCATCATAGTGTTAAAAATAAAATAAAGGACCTGAGATTGGAGTACACCTTTACTTGGCGTGATGCGCGGGTGTGATTAGAGTCGGTGAGTCCACAATGATATAAATGGTGCAAGTGTCAACTCAACGAAGAATGACGAAAATAACATGTACGGGTGTACCCCCATCTTTACAATATTTGTTAGGGGGAAAATATTTTATCTTTTGAATTTTTTTTACTAGTGACTCATAGTATAAGTGGAGTTTACAAAATAGTGAAAAGAAAAAAAAAAAATCAAGGTGAAATCTATTTATGCTATGAGTTACTAGTAGGAGAAAAATTTCCTTTTTTAACAGGAAAAAATATTTTTCCTTTGTTATATATGTGAAATAATAACTTAATTACTTTAAAAATAATATAGCCTAACACTATTTTTTAAGCATTCTTTTAAGATGAAATGTACAATAATATCATTTAAATAATATAATCATATCATAAACTCCACGATTCAATATATATAAGGGAAATAGTTTTTCATTTTACATGAAAAAATTATTTTATATTACACTCACAATTAAAAGGTGAACCTCATCTTTATATTTTTATTTTCTTATTTTTGTATGAATCACACTCATATACTATGTGTATAACATGAAAAAATATTCTAATGTAAATAAAAAAATTAATCCCTATGTACATATACAATATTAAACAAAACATCTAGAACCTTCAGTTATAAACTCTTTTTGTACATTATATTCAGTCCTAAACTCTAAATGGTGGGGCCAGATGAAAGACAAGAAATTCAACCAAATCCAGCGTAGGTGGGGCCGGGGGGGTCCTCGCTCTGATCCCCTTAATCATCGGTCCGGTCTCAATGGCCTTTAACTGTAAGTGGGCCACACAACGGACATAGCTTAACCCTTCTCTCGTGATTGTCAGCGACCATGGTTTACGGTTCACGGTTCAAATCAACAATTTTTACTTTAACCAGCAAATTGTTATTTATGCATGTCTCTTCGTATTTACGATCACCTAACTTTCCCTCTTCCAGCAGTGGCGGAGCCACATGTTGGCTAGGATGGCTTCAGTCCGGACTAAATTTTAACAAATTGTAATCATGTATAATTATAATTAATTATAATTTGATCCGGTTTGAAATTGTAATTTGACCCTGGCTAAAATTTATAATTTGGTCCTATTAAAAAAATAAAATATATTTGGTGAGAGATTTGAGTAAGTTATATTAAGTTATGTGTTCCATTTTTACTTATATAAAAAAATTTAAATATATTTAATAAAATTATAACTCTTTTTGATACTGTCTACTCAGGTGTTTTGTATTTAATATAATTTAAATATATTATCATATGAACTAATTAAAAAAAAAATACACATATAAAATTTTTTGGCCCGAGTTCCAAGTGGACCCTGGCTCCGCCATTGTGTCCAAGGCATTGTTATTATTAGCTATATAATTATTGTTTACTTACGTTGGTAGCTGCGTGTAAATAAAAATATGTCCTTTTTTTGGGCTAAATTACATCAAACAACTATTAATTTATGGAAAATATTACTCTTATTTCACATAAGATAACTTTTTTTATGTTATCTAATTTTGATTTTCGCACCTCATTTTTTTTTTCTTTTTTTAAGTAATGGTGGGACCCACTTATTTTCTCTTTAGGAGGTGTTTCGTAGAGGAGTAATTTTTTTGACCAGGAAAGCATAATGATTAGGAATATTGTATGAAAATAAGTTTGATAGAAAAGATTAAAAAAAATTATTTAGTAGACTAAAATATTACTGGGAGAATTGATTTAATTTTATAAGATCTATGTTTGGTTGAAGTAAAATAGTAATGGGATAATGAGCATAAATTACGAAAAGTGCATTTTTTATTTTTGAATATGAAAAAAAATTGTAACAGTTGATTAAAATTTTAGTTAGTCTATTGTTGGGGTTGTCTTGTTCTACCAACGTTCATGTTCGTGACTTTCTCTGTGTCTCTCTTTCAAACGTCGGCGACCATAACTCCGGCAAGGTGACAGTGGTCTGGATTGGGTTCCTTGTGTGTTGAGATATATAGTCTCACATTGATTATGTATATGCAACTAATATGTCCTTTATAAGGCCTTGGGCACTCCCACCCCTTGAGCTAGCTTTTGGGGTGGTGTATCCCAAAGTTCTTAACATGGTATCAGAGCCTCACCGTCCCCCGCTTTAAAAAGTGAAATTAAAATAAAAAGCACAAAAAGGTAAACCAAAAGTTGAGTCTGTGCAATTCCACGCTTCTAGCCCAAAGGGCTCTTGCGTGAGGGGGCGTGTTGAGATATATAGTCTCACATTGATTATGTATATGCAACTAATATGTCCTTTATAAGGTCTTGGGCACTCCCACCCCTTGAGCTAGCTTTTGGGGTGGTGTACCCCAAAGTTCTTAACATTGTGTTTGATATGGTTCAGTCATTTATGTCATTTTTGATTACATGTGTCTGATATGGGTTCCTTGTGCTGAAAGTAGGAAATGACTTACGTCAAGTCATACATAGCTGTGGATTGAAAACAAAAGAAAAAAAACAAAACTTGCTTCATTTTATCAATCCTTTAATGTAGTAGTTGGAGTTTTGTTATTCAAAACAGTATACTCCATACATCTGTTCTGAGTTTCCCTTTTCTGACGAATATTCAGTTTTTGCAAAATTATGTTTTAAACTAGTGGGCAGAAGCAATTGAAAGTTTGGACCATGAAACAATTGAAAATTGCTGCTCCCTTATCTCTGAAATTTTTGTTTGTTGCTCACGTACAAAACAAGTGAGGAAAGAAGAGACTCCACTTTCAATAGTAAACGAGAGATATTTTTGTCTCCAACATCGCCCCCAATTTTTCCTTTCCCGACTAAATCCAAAAGACCACCCTCTTTGTGGGTTTTTAGAATAGTGTTTTACCCCAATTTTTGCAAATGATTCACCATGCCTGCCTGGGCAAATGATTTTGCCAGTCAAATTTGTTGAACTCTTGTACCAAATATAGTCAGATGAAAATACCACTTGAAGTTGCCTGGGTATCTAAACAAAAAACTTATACCAAACGCCCCCTTACAATATAAGATAATTATATTATTTGAAATGAGAATAATAAAATCCTTAATTTATATGACTTTTCAAATAACCACATTCTACTTTTAATTGATGCAGTTAGCTTGTATATGTTATAAAATTAAAATAATTAAACAGATTTGAAAATTTTGAGACATAAATATCCTCAATATCAATTCAACTGTTAATTATCTGCTTTTTGGACTGCAACGTATTTTTTATTATGTTTATCTTTTAGTGTTTCAGTTATTATTCTAGTCAATAAGTGGTTCCTACATTTTAGGATGAAGTTAGGCTGTTATCCAATATAGCTGAAATCTTGGTAACAGCTACATTTCAGTTTCATTTTGAATGTTAAATATGTAACGGTTGCTGATGAATAATTCAATTCCCTTTTCATTATTTTTCTTCAACGTATCCTCTGCTTTATTGTCTTTTGTTCTGCCATAAAACTAACAAATTGGTATCAAGAGCTTATTTCTTACGGGACCTGTGAAATGGAAGCTGAAGCAAGTTTTTCACAAGTTGCTCCTCCTGTCTTTGATGGAGAAAACTATGATCTTTGGGCAGTAAGAATGGAGTCTTACCTGGAGGCTCTAGATCTTTGGGAAGCTGTGGAAGAGGATTATGAAGTTCCTCCACTGCAGCCCAATCCTACCATGACCCAGATAAAAAGTCACAAGGAGAGAAAAACCAAGAAGGCAAAGGCAAAAGCATGTCTCTTTGCTGGTGTTTCAGCAACAGTCTTCACAAGGATCATGACTCTAAAAACAGCAAAGGAAATTTGGGATTATCTAAAGGAAGAATATGCAGGAGATGAAAGGATACGAAGCATGCAAGTGCTTAATTTAATGAGGGAATTCGAGTTGCAGAAAATGAAAGAGTCTGAGACAATCAAAGAATACTCAGACAGATTGCTTGGCATTGCTAATAAGGTAAGGTTATTGGGCACTGCATTCGTTGATTCCAGAATAGTTGAAAAAATTCTGGTTACAGTGCCTGAGAGATATGAAGCATCAATAACCACCTTGGAGAACACAAAGGATCTGTCCAAGATCACTTTGGCTGGAGTGTTACATGCCTTGCAAGCTCAGGAGCAACGGAGACTTATGAGACAAGATCATGTGATTGAGGGTGCTTTACCAGCCAAGCATCATGAAGTTGGAAGTACTGCAAACAACCAAAGCAATGGCAAGGGTAAAAAGAAAAATTATCCACCTTGTCACCACTGCGGCAAAATGGGTCACCCGCCATTCAGATGTTGGAGAAGACCAGATGCAAAGTGCAGCAACTGTAATCAGCTTGGACATGAAGCTATCATCTGCAAAAACAAAATCCAAGAGCATGAAGTCAATGCCCAGGTCGTTGAGCAAGATGAAGAAGATCTGATGTTTGTGGCAACATGTTTTTCAACTAGAAGTAGTTCAGAATGCTGGTTGATTGACAGTGGTTGTACAAACCACATGACATATGACAGAACT